AAGGAAGGAAGGAAGGAAGGAAGGAAGGAAGGAAGGAAGGAAGGAAGGAAGGAAGGAAGGAAGGAAAAGGTTGGGGATGGGTGAATGAGATGATTTTGTAGGCAACATTCAACCACCATGCCAGACCACAGATGGCCCAGAGCAGTGTTTCTCAACCTTGTCCACTTTAAGATGCGTGGACTTCAACTCCCAGAATTCTGGGAGTTGAAGTCCATGCTTCTTAAAGTGGGCAAGGTTGAAAAACACTGGTCCAGAGACTCACTTTCTGCCCTTCTGAATTAAGGCAAATATTTCAGAGCAATCATTATTCCTGTGTGGTGCTAGCAGTCCTGACTTTCCCAATACAAACTGCAAGCTGAAACTGACAGGTATCAGCATGACAATAATCAGAATTATTGCATACATCACATATCCTGATTCAAGATATGTGATGTATGCAGCCTGTGTGCAATTCTTATTACTGATTACTAATTATCTGATTATTGAATACTGATTATCTGATTCAGCACACCTGAAATGTTTACAGTCTCCAACTGGAAGCAGGAATTCATGGAGACAACAAGAAAAAAAAGATAACCCTGGTTTCAGCAATGTTGGCTGAGCAACCTGCTTAGTCTTTATTTACAGAGTTTCATATTTTGAATTGCTAAGTGTAATGGCTCCTTTCCTGTTATGAATCACAGGAGGAATTGTTTTTCTAAGGCACTGCTGATTAGAACTAAGAGCTACAGACATTCATTTCATTCAAAAATTATGGCTTCAAAAAGGCTATGCAAATATATTGTTTCATTCAAATTATTTTTTTTTAAAGTTTCTTTCATTTTGTTATAAAACTACAGTTGGTTTGCAAACTTACTTTGTCCATGCAGAGTAATGTTTTTCAGTATTTTCTTGGGCATCTGAATATCTTTTAATACATTTTTCAAATCTTTATTGTCTTCTAGGGTCTTAATAGCTACAATTAAAACAGATATATATGACAATTTAAGTTATTTATAGTCAAAGAAGTGCAAGCTAAAACAACTCAGAGAGCTGGGTTTTAAAAATTAATTATAATCATAGCACAAAAGGTATTAATATTCATGAATTCATGAATTCAACAAAGCAATATCTGTACTGATAAAGCAAAAGAAGGAAATACAACATTGGATTTCTTTCAAAGGCAACCTGGTATTTTCTAATCATGTGGAAAGACATAACTGCATCATTCTCATATATTCTCAAGAAGTATATTGGTGTACATCAGCATAAATGGGTATCAGCTCGACAGAATTGGGCTTAGAGTGAAAACCTTGGAGGGAACCAGATTCTCTATAAAAGAACATGCATACATGTTAAAAATAGTTGAGCTTCCAGGAACTCACAAAACCTCTCACACTGGCCTCTCCCTGTTACAGATTTGGTTTTTCAAGTAGGTGGAACCTAGTTTCGGGAATTCTTTCCAACCACATGGAATCCATGGAGTGAAGCAACATCCTGAATTTGCATGTGGGCATGTGAGAGTCTCATCAGGACAGGTTCATGTGGGTTGCCTCTGTGTAGGTGTGCTTGTTTCTGTTGTCCCTCTGTGTTGGATATGTGTATGTGTGCATTTACTGGGAAGCACAGGGTAGGCTGCCTAGGCTCTGCTCACATGACCAGGACAGAGAAAGGAAGAGGACTAAGAATGGGGCAATTGCCAGTATTCAAAGGGCTGTTGTGGAGAAAATAGTCAGGAGCAATATATATATGCTGCCTTGGGTTATACAAAGTAAAGGTGGGATATAAAGATAACCACAACATTCACAACTGCCTTTCCCAGAGGATGCAATCTTCTTCTGCAAAAGAGCCAGAGACCATGATACTACTGCCATTTCCTCCTCCTTCTCCGCTTCACAGCGCACTCTTACTGGTGCTGGGGTGGGG